AAAAAAAAAAAAACAAAAAAAAAAAAAACAAAAAAAAAAAAAAAAAAAAAAAAAAAACAAAAAAAGAAAAACAAACAGATAAAAAAAAAAAACCAAAGAGAAAAAAAAGAAAAAAAATAAAAAAAAAAAAAAAAAAAAAAAAAAAAAAAAAACAAAAAAAATAAAAAAAAAAACAAAAAAAAAAAAAAAAAGAAAAAAAAAAAAAAAAAAAAAAGAAAGACAAGAAAAAAAAGAAAAAAAAAAAAAAAAAAAAAAAAAAAAAAAAAAAAAAAAAAAAGAAAAAAAAAAGTATAAAGAAAAAAAAAAAAAAAAAAAAAAAAAAAAAAAAAAAAAAAAAAAAACAAAAAAAAAGAAAAAAAAAAAAAAAGAGAAAAAAAAAAAGAAAAAAAAAAAAAAAAAGAAAAAAAAAAAAAAAACAAAAAAAAAAGCGATTGTTCATTTGATTCAATACTCACCTGATCTCTCGTCCTTGTTCGGGCGCAATGTCCAAGCTTTGGAGAACAACCCTTGTGCGTCCCGGACCGTCCGCAATCTACGGCACGCAGAACAGAGATTTGATTCGGCGTCGAAACCATTAGCTAGGTTCATCGAAGGAGCTTCGCACGTGTCCGACCGCCCCCATTGCTTGACGTATGTATCCCCCAGGCCCCACACACATCTATCCTTCTCAGTCGTCCTCCTCCTCCTCCTCCTCCTCCTCTTCCTCCACGTCCTACTCCTCCTCCGTCTCCTCCTCCTCCTACCCCTCATAATCATCATCCTACTTCGCCTCTTCCCCCTCCAACAACCTGCTATGCTTGCAACGACTGCTGGGGGGGCAGTGGCGTTTTTTGCTATTTGATGCCGTTTGGGCAACAGCAATTGACATCACAATCAAGAGGGCGGGTAGAGCTCCCGCCAGAGTTGCCCGTGATTTTCTGATGCAGGTAACACCGGAGGAAATTTTACAAGTTGCCATGCTAGCTGATGCTGGCCATGAGGCCCTTTCTGTAACGCGATTTCATGATTCAGACGAATACGATTTATCAGAAATATCGGATGTGATTGCAGATTTTGTGCACCGTATAGACGTCTTGTTTGTGAAAGGCGGTGCCAGAGGCTCTGTGGGGATGAAACAATGTGTTGACGCTGCGCGTTCCTCTAACAACCCATCCAAAAACGATGCCCAGGGGAGTTGAGGTGATCCGGGAAGTGGGGGAGAACAACCAGCAGGGGAAGCCGTCCGATACCCCGAGAGGGGGGGATGGTGGAGGAGAAGGATGCGGAGGAAAAGGAGGAGGAGGAGGGCGAAAAGGAGGAAGGAGGAAGAGACAGTGGACAAGGAGGAGGAAGAGGAGGAGGAGGAGGAGGAGGAGGAGGAGGAGGAGGAGGAGGAGGAGGAGAAGGATGAGGAGGGGTTACATTGGCGAGCCCAGGGCCGTCGTTGAACGTCGTGGATGCTTCCTGGGATCCTCTTGAGGCCTCTCGGGGGCCTCTTGGGAGCCTCCTGGGAGCGTCCTGGGCGCCTTTTGGGGCCGGCTGGGCGCCTTTGGGGGCCATCTTGGGGCGCCCTTGGGAGCCTCGGGAGCGCTCTTGGGGCCATCTTGGAGGAGATCGATCAAAGAAGAGGGGTTATCTCGTCTGCGGGAGCCCCAAGAGTCACCTTTTGGGGCGCTCTTGAGGTGTTTGGGGCGCTCTTGAGGTGTTTGGGGCTCTCTTGGGTCTCTCCTAGGGTCCTCGTGGGCCATCTTGGAGCCGTCTCAAGGCATCGGGTGGCCAGCGGAAGCCAAAGGGCGATGCAGCAAAACACATCGATGTCCCAAACATGTGGGAAGGATTCTGGCTTCTTGAAGACCTCTTTGGAAGTCTCGGATGCGTCTTGGAGCCGTCTTGGAAAGTTTCGGTGGCCTTTCGGAGCATTCTGGGAGCCGACTTGAGGCATCTTGGGATATCTTGAGGCATTCGGGTTCTTCGAGGCCCTCTTGGAACCAGCGTGGGCAACAAACAGATGTTTTGACACCTCGCCGGGCGCCCCGTCCAGGCCCCCGTGAGGGGCGATGGGGGCGGGCAAACCCCACCCCGAGGGGAAAGAAAGGGGTTCGGAAGATGAGCCTCCCTGCACCACCTACGTTCTGAGGGCTGCTGGGATTGTTGCCACGTTTGTTTCTCTCGTCGCTACAGCTGGGCTCGCGTGTCGGTTAGCAAACGAAAGCAACGCAAATAAGGTATGCTTGTTTTGGAGCGCTTGAATGGGTTCCCCTTGCTTGCCCCAGGTTGTGGCTTCACTAAATATGCTGTTGAGATGATGTCTTGTGAGCGAGTCTGCACAGTCAACGGTCAGGCGAAGGTGTTGGGAGGACCCACTCAAATGACTGGACAGGTGATCGCCCGCTGTTTACAGCGGATGTCCAATTGGGTGCGCCTCACAATCGAGAGTTTGAAGGCCGAGTTCCCAGCTTATGAAATTCTGCAGGCGTTCAAGATATTCAATCTGCGGACCGGCACTCGTATCAGCAGCATTGGGAGCCGGTCAGAGTGCGATGCGTTGCAAAGGTTGGCAAAAGTGTTCACTGTTGACGCCGAACAGCTTCGAGATCAGCTCAATGATGCCCGGAACTACGCCGTTCGTATCTTTGGCCAGCAGCCCAAGGATTCTGGAAGCCTCGAGTCTTGGATCCAAGCCTTGCGCAAGATGCAAGACCGCCGAATGGTTGGCCATCATCCGACAGATGCCCTTGCGACTGTTCTATCACAGTATGCTGCATTTCATGGATGCACAACTGGAGGCGTTGAAAGAGGCCTGGGTTGCCTCTCAAGAGTTGTCACCAAGCATCGCACGTTGTTGGATTTGCGCAGTCAGCTTGGCGAGCTCAAATTGTCTTTGGACATGGACAACATACAACAGGATAAGTTAATCGCTTCAGCTCAGCAGATCTGGCGGGATACATTTGGATCGGTTCGAGATTGTACCAAGTCCGTGCGTTTCAGCAGCAGCAACTGTGCATCTTCCAAGGATCCGGCCGGAGTTGAAACTTGTATTGTTATTGTTGAGTTGTTGTTTTGACACCCGCACAAACCCAAATGCCCGCCCCGCCCCCCCCCCCACCAGCCAACTCCCATCCCGTGAGCCACAGGAGGGCGAGGCGAAGTTCATCCGGGATAGGCGCGATGATGTATCCAAGCGTGCCAATGCCTGCATGAAGAGAGACTGGGTGCAAGTAGCATCTGACGCGTCAGCCACAGGGAGACCCATGCGTACTCATGGGGTTCAGGTTGAGCTGGAGAAGTTGAAGCTGAAGAAACGCATGCGGGTAATTGAAGCAGCTGGTCGGGGACATTTGCTTCGAAGCGAGAGGGATGAACATCTCGATGCAGAGGTGGCTGCAATGCGCTTGGGCCAGAGCCGATTGGATGCTAAGAATGATCGTGACCATGCTAGGAAGCAGGCCCGGCTGGCCCATGCTGGGCCATTAACGTTAGAAGGGGCCACGGTTTTTCTATCTGACGATACGAATTGCTTGCGCATGGTCCGCCGTGTTTCATCTCAGTTCAGAAACAATATGTGTTTATGTAGCATCGTTGTTCCTAGGGCCTCGTTCGGAATGTTTTTGTTTCCTCAGGGGTGTGAAATGACCAGGGACATGTCTGACATACAATGCACATGATACCACTTAAGCTTGAAGCCTGTGTGCCAGGTGCCCAGCTCCTGGGGTGAGCGGACGTACCTGAACGTGGAAAGGTCGAGAGGGCAGCCCGAACGAATTCAATGAGAATTGTTCCTGAGCGCAAGGATGCGCAAATTGTTGTGGTGGCAGACCTTGGATCGATCGGACAGAGGCCATCTTTGTTTGCGGGGCTGCAAGGGTCCAGGGTGTGCACCAGCCGTTTCGTGTTCAATTGTGGCAGGGCTGCACCGAGCATCCTGTACAAGTCTGCGTTGGCCACTAAGAGGTACGTGTGGATTGACGCGGCTTCGCCGTGCATCCTGACGGCGGAGGGTTGGCTGGAAGGCCAGGGGGGGTGTCTAGGGCAGGTAGGCGCACAGGCGGGAGGGGCATTCTCACAGCTTGGGCCCCTCATGGTGGGGTTGCGAATCACACCCAAGTTTGCAGCCCGTAATGCAGAGTTTGCGCGAGATATTCGGGAAGCGGTCCACTACCCGAGGAATGAGTCAAAGTGGCGAATGGTTGATAATGAACGTGGGTTTCTCAGTAAGTACGTGACCTTAACAACAGGCCCTGTGCGTCAGCGCAGGCCCATGGAGGTGATTGCTCTTTGTAGCGCAGAGGAGAAGGTTGAGGTCTGCTGGGGCCATAAACCCCCCCCGCTCATTCTTCAACCACCCCCCCAAGCATGGTTCTGAAGATCCGGCTATTTGGGGGGACGGTCCCGTCAGCATCCCCCCCATTATCTCCATTCGCCCTGAGGCAGTTTGGGGTACGCTGCCAAACGTGTTCTCCATGTTTGAGTTTCTCAAGTTCATCATGGTGCCTGCAGATATGGGATCAACCAGGGGTGCATGCGGCAGGTGATCTGTAATTAGAGGAGCTGCACTGTGGGATGATGGTGTTGGCACAAACAGCGTGCTGTGGAGCACGTTGGCAGAATGCAAAACTCCAGTCGCCCCCCGTGTCCTCATCAGAGCTCACAGCTTCCATCCCCCTTCCAGTGCCCATCCCCCCTCCCATCCCCCCTCCCACTTATTCTCATTTCCCCCTCCTCCGCGTCCTCCTGCTCCCGGAGACATGGGCACGATTGAATCAGTCAGAACTTTCCCCGAAGCGTGGTGTGGTGAGATTCAAGCATTCGTCCTCATTTTCCTTATCCCACTCCTCGTCCTCCTCCTCCTCCTCATCTTCCTCCTCCTCCTACTATTCCTCCTCCTCCTCTTCCTCCTTCTCCTCCTCCTCCTCCTCCTCCTCTTGATTATCCTTATCCCCCTTCGCCATCCTCCTCCGTTCTCTTCTCCATGTCATCCGTCATCAGTCCCGTTCCTCATCCATCCTCCCGGCGCCGCAGGCCTCGTCGGCCCCTGGCGCCAGGCGTGGCCGCCGCGGGCTGCAGGCCAGGCCCTCCAGCCAGCCTGCACGCTTGCACCAGCAGGGTGAGGGGGGGCTGAAGATCAGACGGGGGGGGAGGCTGATGTGAAAAAAGGGATGAGATAAAGCGAGGATGGATGAGTAGAGGGAGAATGTTGGAGGAAAGAAATTGGCTGCCACAGAACTGTGTTCCCCAACCAGTGCTTGCATTATAGGTTTCACTCTGGTTGGTCTACAATGTTTTTGCATGGTGGGCTTTTGCTTGGTGGCTGGCAGTTGCTGCTTGCTGCTAGCTAACACAACGCACCTTGCATATATACTAGTGCCCATCATAGCTCACACTGCAAATGTTGCATCACATAGCTTGCACTGCACATGTTGTGCCGCGAAGCCGTCGGACACGCCCGCGCTACGTAACTAGCGCTGACTACATGCACCACATCGATCAACATGCTTAGCCTCGCGCGTTGCACTATGTAGGTTGCACGTCAACAGTGCAATGTCTAACTGTTTGGGGTATACAAACGTCACGAGGGGAGGTGGGAACACTGCGGCAAACCAGCATGTGGTGGCCCACTGCTCAACGGTACATCGGAGCTGTGGGTGCCATCTACCCGGAGTAGGGTGCGACCCGTGCCTTGTTCTCCTGATCGTGCCAGGGTTGATCCGGAGATCCTTGATTGTGGCCCCACCTGCTTGTGCCAAACATCAAGCCACGTAAGCGACCATGCCATGGAGATGTTGCCCCACAGCAACGTTAAGTCTATACCCGTGGCTGGTGTAAGAGAGTGCATTAAGTCTTCACGCTTCGCGAATCCTCACCAGCCCATTCAGAAGACCTGCCCATGAGAGTTGACGGGAAATGGAATGAAGAGACAGATTGGGCCCTCTTGGGTTTCTTTTGGGGGGGTCATGGAGCCTTCTTGGGGCCCTTTTGGAACTCTCGCAGGGCTTTCAGCCGGGCTTCGGAGGGCATCCTGGGGCCATGTTGGAGGCCATCGATCAAACGAGGGAAGGTCCCTTAGCTAGCTCCCCCCAGAATAGCCATCATCATAGCATCTTGGGGCACTATTGGGGCCCCATGGGGGCGATCTTGGGCGCGCTTGGGGCAGGCTCGATGGCCTCTCGGGCCCTTCTTGGAGCTCAATTGGGCCATCTTGGGGCCACGCTGAGGCCTCAAACGCGCATCGGAAGCGAAAAGGCGAGACGTCCAAACGGTTTTGAAGGATTTCGGCTTCTCCGAGAAATCCTGATGGGTCTCCAACAACAGTTGGATCCGTCTTGTGGCCTTGTTGGCTGCATCTTGGAGGTATGTTGATAGCTATTGTGAGCCATGTTGGGCTATCTTGTGTTATCTTGGAGGCCATCTTTGGCTTTCTGATACCATCTTGGAACCATCTTGGGCCGTCTTGGACGCCGTGGCGATTCACGCCCCCCGCCCGTCAAGGTCCAGGCGAGGGGGGGGGGGGTCCCGAGGAGGCGTCGAGACGTATTGAGCCTTCTTCTGATCTTCTTCGTGAGCCGTCTTCTTGAGCCAACACGGCCACGAAAGAGGACCGAACAGACATCGTTAGACCGCATGTTGCCCAGAGGGCCGGCAGAAATACACAAGCATTTAGTAAGACATCGTGTTACACAACGTCGGCCCAACTGTGAAAAGACATGCCCTTACAACAGTCGGGGGCGTCCCCGACCGCGTAAGGCCATACGCGGTCGGGGACGTCCCCGACCGCGTAAGCCCATGCACGGTCGGGGACGTCCCCGAACGCGTAAGCCCGGACGCCCCCCCACCGCGTAAGGCCTTACGCGGTCGGGGACGCCCCCGACTGTTGTAAGGGCATGTCTTTTCAAGTAGATAAACCTTACGCGGTCGGGGACGTCCCCGACCGCGTAAGGCCTTACACGGTCGGGGACGTCCCCGACTGTTGTAAGGGCATGTCTTTTCAAGTAGATGAACCTTACGCGGTCGGGGACGTCCCCGACTGCGTAAGGCCTTACGCGGTCGGGGACGTCCCCGACTGCGTAAGCCATAAGGTTGGGGATGTCCCCCATTGTGAAAGGCCTGATGGCATGTCGTTTGACGTTGGGCCCTCGGGTCAGCGCTCGGCCACCGATGAGAAGCTGAAAAATGGTGACGCTGCGCTAAGGGCATGTATATTTTACACATGGCCTTACAACAGTCGGGGACGTCCCCGACTGTTGTAAGAGGGTGTCTTCGAGGTTTGGCCACTGTTGTAAGCCCATGTGTAAATTACACATGGCCTTACAACAATGCCGACATTGAAAATACACCCTCTTACAACAGTCGGGGACGTCCCCGACTGTTGTAAGGCCATGTGTAAAATATACACCCTCTTAGCACAGCAGGTCCAGTCTCGGGCGATCGCGCGCCGTGGCCGACCTCGCCATAAGGATCATGGTGTCGCATCCGTCTCCCCCCATACAAAAGCACGCACAAGGCTATGAGGCCTTTTGTCGATGGGCCCCCTGACGATGGCAGCATGTGCTGAGCAACCCTCCCCTGCTCCTGCTTCTGCTCATGGCACTGCTCAATTCTGTAACTGCTGCTCCTGCTCCTGGTGCTAATCACCCCTGCTCATGATATTGCTCCTGGTACTCCTCACCTCCTGCAGCAGTTGTGTTCGCTGCTCCGAGCTTGTGCCCCTTTGTGTGACATGCGGTCAAACGATGTCGTCCCGTCCTCTTACGTAGCCATTTTGGCTCAAGAAGAAGGCTCACAAAAAAATGATCAAGACGTATCGGTGTCCTTAAGCGTTCGTTTTGCGCCTCCTTCTGCGGGCCGCCCATTCGGCCGCGAGTCGTCAGGGCGCCCAAGATGGCCCAAGATGGCTCCCAGAGGGCCTTAGAGAAGATGGCTTCCAATATCGCTTAAGATAGTCCAACATGGTTCAAGATAGCTAGCAACATGTCTCCAAGAGGCTCCAAGAAGACCGCACTACTGATCCAAATGCTTGTGAGGACCCCTCGACCTCCCCGAGAGGCCACAATCCTTCAAAACCGCACGGAGAACCAGTGTTTTTGGACGTTTCGCCTTTCGCTTCCGATGCGCTCTTGAGGCCTCAGCGCGGCCCCAAGATGACCCAATAGAGCTCCAAGAAGGGCCCGAAAGGCCATCAAGACTGCCCCAAGAGCGCCCAATATCGCCCCAAGATGCTATGTTGATGGCTCTAAGGAAGGGACCTAGATAAGAGCTCCAAGAGGGTCCCAAGCGGGCCCCAAGACCCCACGAACGAGTTAGTCCCACCAGCCCTCTGGGCTTAGGTGGCATAACACGGTTTTTTCTTCTCTCTAAACCTCCCCCTACCCCCTCCCCTGGGCCTGGATGGGGGGGGGGGGGGGGCGGAGGCGCCGCAGCGTCCAAGATGGCCCAAGAAGGTTCCAAGAGGGCTTCAAAGTCGCAAGATGGCCTCCAAGATGGCCCATGCTACTTCAAGATGGGTCAAGATAGCCTCCGACATACCCCCAAGAGGCCCCAAGACAGCCCCAAGACGGATCCAAGTGCCCTCCGAGCCCTCCACGGCGCCCTCCAAGATGCCAAAACCTTTCAAAAGTCTAGGGAAAATCTATGTTTTTAGCATTATCGCCGCTTCGCTTCCGATGGGCTTTGGAAGCCTCAAGATGGCCTCTAGATGGCCCAAAAGAGGCCCAAGAAGGGCCCAAGAAGGCCAACGACGGCCCGAAGATCGCCCAATAGGCGCCCGAGAGCGCTCCAAGAGGGCCCCAAGATGCCGTTTGAGAGCCTCCGAGGGGGCGATGCTAATTGAGGGACCTCCTCTTTTTGAGCCATGGGGCCCAAGCTGACCCCAAGAGGCATCCCAGCCTCTCCCCACAGACCCTCCACCCCGCCCTGTTTGGCCCAATATGGCTCCAAGAGAGCCCTAGATAGGCATGGCATAAGATAGCCAAGCATGACTCAAGATAGCCTCCGACAGACCTCCAAGAAACCTCAAGACAGCCTCAAGATGGCCCAAGATAGCCGAGCAGGCTCAAGATAGCCTCCGACAGCCTCTAGCCGAGCATGGCTCAAGATAGCCTCCAAAGAGGCCTCAAGAAAACTGGCGATCAATTCTGGATGGGCTGGTGGGGATACGCGAAGCGTCAAGAACCTTTTACGGGCAATCACCTGTAAAAAACTAACTCGGGAAGCTAACCCAATGTGTTCCTGACACTCCTCACTCCCGCAGCTGTTCTGTTCGGAGCTCCGAGCTTGCTCGACGTCAGAATCAGTACGCGTCTGTACTCCCAGACATACAAGCAATGGCCCGTGGTGCCGGTGCTCGTGGCGGCGGCCGCGGCGGTCGCACCGCCGGCCGTGGAGGCCGAGGAGGCTCCGGAGGCAATGGCGGCGGCGGCCGCGGGCAGGCTGGGGCGCCTTCCCAAGCTGGCCCAGGCCCTGCCGCGCAGCTCCCGACCACCGATGCCAACGCCTCCATCGTGAGCAGGGTGGTCGAGGCCAAGGCCTACTTGGAGTCGCTGGCCCCTTTCAGTGACATCCATCGAGCGCTGCCGGGCGACATCGCTGCTGGTGATGGCCACATGGCCGCGTATGATGGCGAGTCTTGCGCGACTGCGCTCAAGTCTCTTGGCAAGTATATCGCTGGCGGCAACTTGTGGTGGGTAGATCTGACGTCCTCGCTGAACATGTCTTCGGTCCCGGTGAACGTGGCGTCCGTGGAGCGCCTCGAACAGGACCTGTTCAGCGAGCCTCCGACTGTGTTCCCCGACAACATCACGGTGGGCGTCTACGAGCCTGCAGACCCCTCCCAGACCTTCGGCCGCCTGATGCGGATCAGCCCAGAGGACCAGTGGCTACCAAACTGATGATGATGGTGAAGATGAGAAGGAGGGGGCGGAGGTGGAGGAAGAGGAGGAGGAGGAGGAGGAGGAGCATGCGGAGGAGGAGGAGGAGAAGGAGGAGGAGGAGGAGAAGGAGGAGGAGGACGACGACGATCATGAGGATGAAGAGGGGAAGTGAAGAGAGAGGAGGGGGAGGAGGAGGCGGAGGAGGAGGGAAGAGGAGGAGGATACGGGGGAGGAGGAAAACGAACAGGAGGAGGGACGGACAACCTTTTCCCAAGTTGAAGAGAGAAGCAAGACAAAGAACAAAAATGAGGAGGAAGAGGAGGAGCAGGGCGGAGGCGCCGTGTGGCCCATCAGGGGAAGGTAGTGGACAAGGTTGGGTCGTTTTGGCAGCCCTTTTTGTTTTTGGTTTCCTCGGTGACGGGGAGCCCTCCATCTGGCAACATTTTGTCTTACAGCTCTTGGGCAACTTGTTCTTGCTTTCGCTGGGGCCTTTGAAAGGTCTGGACAGCGGTCCGCAAACCAGTTACTCCATCAACCCCTGGACCTGGATTGGGCGTTCCCCGAAGGGTTGGAGTGTCCAAGATGGCCCAAGATGGCTCCATGTGGGCCTTAGAGAGCACTCAAAATGGCCCAAGATTGTTCAACATGGTTTCCAATCTGTTCCAAGAGGTCCCAAGGCCCCTCCACGACGGCCCGAAGTGGCCAAGGATCCTGCCCAGGAGGCAATCAATAGGCCACACTCTTTCAAACACCTGAGGACAATCAATGAGTGTTGCCTTCTCGCCTTGTTGCTTTCGATGGCTTTCCGAGGCCCCGAGAAGGCTCTAAGAGGGCCCAAGAGGGCCCCGAGAGAGGCCCCGAAGAGCCCCGAGACTGCCCCGATAGAGCCCAAGGGCGCTCCAAAAGCGCCCCAAGAGCGGCCCAAAGAGGCGATGATCCTAGGCGTTCCCGAAGGCGGGCCCTGATAGAAGCTCCTACCTTCTTTGATCGATTTCAACCACGATGGTCCCAAGATGCGTCCAGGATGCCCCAAGAGGCGACCGAGATGCCTCAACGAGGCCCCCAAGACACCCCGAAGAGGCCCCACGAGACCCCCCGGGGCACCCAAGACGCTCCAAAAGGCCCCTGGGACTGCCAAGAGGCCCCCAAGACGCTGCACGTGGCCCCCAACAAGCTTCCAAGAGATATCCCTGGAGATTCCGAGAAGCAACTTGCATGGGCATTGTTTGAAACGATGCCCATGCGAGTTGCTTCTCAGGATCTCCAGGGATACGCAGAGCGACAAGCAGTCGACATTGCACACCCTACTTCACGCAGCACCCCGAAGGAGATGGTTTTCGCCTTCTACCTGGGGGCCGCGAAGCACTTGAAGGACAGCCAGGGGGATGAGCTTATGGACAGGGCCACCTTGTGGCGTCGTGCGGCCCTGTCAGTGCCACTGGAGTTCGTGATGTGCGAGAACGTCAATGACCTCTACTGGAAATCAATAAATCTGCGTGAGTCCATTGGAACGAAGTACGCCACTATGTACCGGTCCCCAGTCCAGCGCATCTTTGAACTGGCGATCTGGAAAGAGAAGCAGGAAGCTGAAACTGGGACCAACATGGACCCCGAGGCTATCTCCAAGGCGTGGTCGGAGAAGGTCCAGCTCAGCCCGATGGCGGAGGCCATCTCGCCAGGCATGGTGGACGCCTCCATGACAGTGTGGAATCGCCTTTTGTGCGATCCTGAATGCCGGTCGGTGGTCATGGAGGCGGAGTCTTTCTGGGGCAAGCACACGCCGTGGGATTCTGTGTATAAATTGGAAGCTGTGGTCAAGAAGGTTGGCCGCTCGGACACATCCTTCACCAACGCGAGGTACTTGGGTAGCCCACGGCAAAGAGGGAGGATAGGGAGTGTGAGGAGGGAGGAGGACAAGGAGGAGTAGGAGGAAGAGAAGGACGAGGAGGAGGATGAGGGATGCTCCTCCCAGGGAGGAGGGGCAATGACGAAGGACCCTGCCCAGTTTTCTCACTGAACCGCTGCCTTTGACACGATCCTGCTCATCCTTTTCCTCCTTCTCCTCGTCCTCATCCTCCTTCTCCTCTTCCTTGCCCGCCTCTCCTGGGAGCCCGCGAGCCGCAGCGCCACGCCACTCAAAGTGGCCGCTCTAAGCTGTCCTCACAATCTCCTTATCGTCCTTCTCCTCCTCCTCCTCATCCCCGTCTCCTCCTCCGCCCGTTCCTCCCGAGCCTTTCCCCTGGCTATCCTCCCCCGCTCCCTGCACCTCCTCTCCCTCTTCCAGATGTTGCGTTGTTGTTGTGCCTCGTGCCGCGCAGGTGGATCCTGCACGCTGTCTCAGATGAGATCAAGAACGGCACGCACCATCAGTCCTACTTTAGTGTCCGCATGCTCTCTGGCAAAGGTCAGGCTCAGAACAAAGGGGCGTGCGACATCTACATGTACCGCAGGTCCCTGAAGCAGCACTGCATCAGCTCCATCCTCGGCGGCCTCAGTTTCCAACCTGACATGAAGGATCAAGTATCTGGTTTGTTCTCATCCCACGCCGTGTATCGGTCGTGGTTTGGCTACGACAGCCAGACAGTGAGCCGCCAGTGGCTGCACGGCTTCCCCAAGGCCTTGCAGTACCTCATCATATTTATCGGGGAGATTGTTTACGGGGTCAAGTACGACACAGCCATCCGCAGCGGCACCAGGTTCAACACCACGTGCGAAGAGTTCTTTGAGAAGGACGAGGTGAAAGTTGACCTTGACAAGCTCCTGTCAGGGTGCCACAGCCACCTTGGCACGATTCCAGAGTCCAGCAGGCCATCGGTCCCAGAGGTTCCCATGGATGAGGCGGCCGAGCATGCCGTGGCCAGCGGCTTCGTGGTCGACAAGCAGGATGCGGCAACGCTCGCCTCCACCCTGGGGGACCAGATTGCTGGCATCAAGGAGGCGCTGGAGCAGAAGTTCAAAGTGTTGGCCAAGCTGTCTTCGCTGAGTGACACTGACAAAGATGAGTTGCGCCAGCTTGAGAAGTTGGCCTGTCAGAAGGTGGCGGATCATTGCTCTCTCCTGGTGGAAGGGAACAGCCCTGCGACGTGCGCACGGGTGATGGGCGGGTCGTTCGTCGGCACCCTGCGCGGAGACGACAACAAGAAGATCCTCGTCGTGTACGACAACAAGTTGGCCGGGGAGAGCGTCTCCACGCCTCACCTGAGGCTGCCGCCGTTCAGGGCGGAACGCCTCAAGAAGCTCATTCAATGGCTGTTGCCAACACCGCCGGCCTATACCCATTTATGTCGCAAATTGTTGACGCTTCGCGTATCCCCACCAGCCCATCCAGACACGATGTCCAGGGGAGTCAAGGTGATAAGGGAAGTACGGGGGCACGCAGAAGAACAATGGGAAACCATTCGATGCCCCAAGAGGGGGAGGATGGTGGAGGAGAGGGAGGAGGATGAGAAGTAGGAGGAGTGAGAAGAGCATCCTCGGATTTCTCTTGGGATTTATTGGAGGCCTCTGGGGAACATCTTGGGTGCCTCGGGGATCCTCTTGAAGCCTCTTGGGGCCCTTTGCGGGCCTCTTGGAGGTATCGTGGGCACCTCGTGAGGCCGTCTGGGCGCTTCTTAGGGCCATCTTGGGGCGCTCTTGGGATCCTGGGGAGCGCTCTTGGGGCCATCTTGGAGAAGATCGATCACGTGAGAAAGGTTCCCTTACTGACCCCCCCCCCTTGGGATCCCCAGAAGTCGCCTCTTGGGGCGCTCTTGGGCGCTCGTGGGGCCGTCTTGGGGCTCTCCGGGTCTCTCTCGGGGCCTTCTTGGGCAATCTTGGAGCCATCTTGAGGCCCAGGATGGCTGCTGGACGCTAACAATGGAGACAGCAAACCATCCTGTTTTTCCATAGGTTTGGGAAGGATTCTGGCTTCTTCGAGGCATCCTTGAAGATGTCGAGGCCTCTTGGAGCCGTCTTGGAACGTCCTTGGGGCCTCTTGGAGCATCTATGGAGCCAACTTGAGGCATCTTGGGCTGTCTTGACCCAACTTGGAGGTCATCTTGGGTTCCCTGAGTCCCTCTTGGAGCCATCTTGGGCGAACACGTACCCTCCGAGGGGCGTCTCGCCCAGGTCCAAGGGAGGGAGGGAGGGAGCATCGGGGAGGGGTAAACCACTCCCCGAAGGGACAGAAGGGGGTTTGAAGAGGAAGCTCTTTAGACCACCTACGCCCGGAAGGCTAGTGGGTTTGGCGAGGGCAGCGCGGCGTGATATGGAGGATGTAGGGGAAGGGGAAAATCGTAATCGCTTTTCAGCGCTGTTAGTTTGCAACTGCAGGGTGGGCGGATCCAGGCAGTCAACAGTACTCGTGCTGGCGGCGCAGGCGTCCTGGACGACGGTGATGCATGGCTGGTCTTTGATGGTGGCCTGCAGGGCAATCGGGGGCCCATCCTTAACCAGTTCCAGACCCACGACGGTAAGGCCCTGAAGAAGTCCTACAAGACCTGCCACCTCCATTATTCTGAATCTGCCATGGAGTCAAGGTACGCGCGCCTGAAGGACGGGCACGTGCTGCAGCAATTGGAGACGGTCTACGTGGTGAGCTCTGACGAATATCAGCCTGCCAAGAAGAAGCGCAAACACTTCGACCAATGTACGAATGCTGGCACCATGATTGGCCCAGTAGGCCTCCCGTCATATGAGTCTCAGTGGCTGCTGAAGTACAGTGACAAGAAAGATCTCTACGGCCCCATGCGTGTTGCCACAGGCGGAGCCCAGGAGATCCCGGACGCCGGGGCCCCAGCCAAGAAGCGGCGCCTGGACACAGACTACGAGCCCTCCAGCTGGCACACGATGATCGATACGATCTCGTCGGAGTTCATTCATTCTTATCCTGAGGCTTTCGCCGATGCGCCTGCCCCGTCCTGTTTGCCTCCTGTTCCTCCTCCTCCTCCTTATCCTCCTCCCTCTTCTCTTCCTCTTCCACCTCCTTTTCCTCGTGGTCCTTCTCCTTCTCCTTCTCCTCGTCCTTCTACCCCTGCCCCTTCTCATGTTCCTCCTCATCATCATATTTGTACTCGTAATCCTCATTATCCTTGTCCTCCTCCTCACTCTCCTGATCCTCCGCTTCCCCCTCCTCACCCTCCTGCTTGCCCTCGAATGGGGAGGGGCACGCCTTCGGGCTGCCGGTGGCAGCTGGGGGGGCGCCAGGGGCCTGGCGATTGGGCCGGCGCCCGAAGGTCAAGCTAGGAGGGAGGGAAGATGGGATCGGTGAAGGGATGATGGGATGATACAGGAGATGATGAAAAGAACTATCCCAGTGCGACCCTACCTAGGAGTTGGAGCCCCTAGGAAAACAGCATTAGCAGTAACGGTAAAGCTAAGCTAAAGCTCAGCTGAAGCTAACCTAAAACTAAGCGAAAGCTAAGCTAAAGCGAACCTAAATCTAAGCTAAAGCTAAGTTAGAGCTAAGCTAAAGCTAAGCTAAAGCTAAGCTAAAGCTAAGTTACAGCTAAGCTACAGCTAAGCTACAGCTAAGCTTACTCTAAGCTTACGCTAAGCTTACGCTAAGCTAAAGCTGAACTGAAGCTAAGCTAAAGCTAAGCTACAGCTAAGCTAATTCTAAGCTAAAGCTAAGCTAAAGCTAAGCTAAAGCTAAGCTAACGCTAAGCTAAAGCTAAGCTAAATTTAAGATAAAGCTAAGTTACAGCTCTGCTAACGTTAAGCTAGCACTAAGCTAAAACTGAGCTAAAGTTAAACTAAAGCTAAGCTAAATCTAAGCTAAAGCTAAAGCTAAAGCTAAAATTAAAGCTAAAGCTAAAGCTAATGGTAAAGCTAAAGCTAAGGGGACGTAGCCGGGGGAACCGCGGGGCGGACACTGGGGGAACCGCCCGGGGCGCTTTCCACTCCCCGGCCCCTTTAAGCCCAGAGAGTAAGAACCCTTCTAGATGGAGCCTAGGGAAAGAAAAAATGCCAATTCACTTCTGTGCAACGCACTTGCGGACCCTTGTAAAGCGGTTATTGACATGACCCCGGTGAGCCCAGAATGGGCAGTGTCTTGCATTGAGGCTGGCATACCGTACATGGCCATCTGCTATACCGAAGCCCACGCCACTTTGCTCAACCAGTGCTTGTCGCACCGCATATTCCAGAAATTCACTGACGAGTCCGACAGCATGTTCGTCCCCAGAGCTGCCAAGCTCGTGTCCGGCGACAGCAACAATGGTGATAAGGATGGGCCCGAGGATGAGGAGGAGGTTGGCAACAACGGAGAGGAAGATGACGATGGCGAAGACGTCGAGCCCCCGGCGGTGCTCAAGAGGAGGCCGGCCGCAGCCAAACCCACGGGCACGAAGAGTGGCACTCGCCAGTCCCTCTTGAACCGTTTGCAGGAGCTCGGCGGCGGGGCATCCGACGAGGACGGAGATGAGGAGGATGAGTGAGCCCCGGGTCTGACACTCTAGGTGTGATGCGATGACGACGCCAATGCCTAGCAATAAAACTCATACCACAAAAGCATAGAGACATGTCAGATCATGATTTGAGGTTTGATGTTATTGCGATGGCGGTGGCTGAGTTGTCACGCAAAGTCTCGGACCAGGGATGCGTTTAAACCTCGCTGTGGCACTGGTGGCGCACGCGCTTCTTGCTGCCAGTGGGGAAGGAATCGACAGCCACTTGCGTGGCCATGTCAGGCTTGTCTGCAGTTTGACATTCGGCGCTCCGCCGTAGCGTTGGCCTGGCGTTGGCCAGGGACTAGCTGTTTAACAACGTTTGGCTGTCGAGTTTTGAGCTCGGGCGCCCCGCCCGCGTTGTGCTGGCGCTGTTTTTTGCCAGTCGTCTCGGTCGCACTCCTCGCGACATAGCAAATGTAGGAATGTTCAAGTGGATGCGCCATTGGATTGTGATCTCGTGGTGAAGGGGCGCGAGGAAGACGATGATAATGAGGAGGAAAGCAGGAGGCAGGATGCCGAGGGCAAGTGTGATGGTACGAGTGAGGGGGAGAGTGAGGAGTGAACCCCTGGTCTGACACTCTAGGTAGGATGCGATGACGTGTTTATCAGGCCCTTACGGGCTCTGGTCGACGCCACCGCCTAGCAATAGAACTCATACCGCACAAGCATAGAGACATATCAGGTCATGATGTGAGGTTTGATGTTATTGCGATGGCGGCGGCTGAGTTGTCGTGCGAACTCTCGGACCAGGGGTGCGTTTAGAGCTCGCCTAGGCACTGGCGGCGCACGCGCTTCTTGCTGCCAGCTCGACGATCGGTGCTCGGCCGTGGCCCAAGCGTTGGCCTGGCGTTGGCCAGGGACTAGCTGTTTAACAACGTTTGGCTGTCGAGCGTCGAGCGCCCCGTGCTGTGCCGGCGCCGTTTTTTTTCAAGATCGTCTTGGTCGCACTCCCCAAGACATATCAACGTAGGAGTGTTAAAATGTACGCACGGTTGGATTGCAACCCCGTGGTGAAGGGGCGCAAGGAGAATGATGATAACGAGGGGGAGGAGGCAGGAGGCAGGAGGACGAGGGCAAGTATGGTGATAGGAGGGAGGAGGAGGGCGATGAGGTTTGGACTGAATGATGACAAGGGAGGACCGCCCATCGGTGCTTGGCCGAGAGAATGGAAGGAATGAGGAAGGAAGGAGAAAAGGAAGGAAAGAGGAAGGCGGCGCCGCCTGCCAGGCAATGGCGCAGGCCAGCAGCAGCGGGCGGCCTGGGGCTCGCCCAGCCACCCTTCTTGTCCAGCCTCCTTGATCCAGTGGCCTGCGTAGGCCTCTCGAGTTCTTGGGGCCCCTCTTTGGGCCTTCTCGGGGCCCTATTCTTCCCTCTTGGAGCCCTCCTGGGCCGTCTTGAGGTTGTCTTGGGAGCTCGTTGGGCTCTCTTGAGCTGCAGGGAGCTCGAAACTACAAGCCTGCGGATCCCCTTTGAAAAAAAAGAGTTTTCTTGGAGCCCTCTTCGGCCATCTTGGAAGCCTCGTGGGCCGCCTCGGGGCCGCATTGGGCAATTCGGGGGCCACCTGAGGCTGTTGTGGAGGCCTCTTGGCTGATGTTGGCGGCCTTGGAGGCTTGCCTGGGCATCTTGGACACATTGGACAACGCCAGAGGCGTCGGAATACCCAATGAGCTTCATGGCGAGGGGGGAGTGCATGGCCAGAAAGCATTCCAACACGCCTCAACGTCCCAGAGGGCTCGGTCCAACGTGGAACCCAAACAGTAATGCCTTAATGCAGGATGTCGTGCAGGAGGTGTATCTTGGTGCGCTCCACGTCGTGAAGGCTACGTGGTACGAGCTGCAAGGTATGATGCGCATGCTGTTTGGCGTGAGTTATGTGCTGCGACATATGCGGTGTAAGCGACGATGCTCAAGATGCATGACGTAAGTCAACAGACCCTGGGCCCTGTCTGGCGCCTCGCTGGCGAGACCCCCGGGGGCCCACCCAACAACTTAGGAGCGGAACAAACCCCGAACAGTGAAAGTAGCTCTAAACATCCAAGGTCCTCAACCAACTATCCTTTCACATCCTGCTGCTCATCATCCTCCTTCTCCTTCTCCACCTCCACATACTCCCCTGCCCCTCCCCCATCGCTCTGATGTAAAGTAAATTCTTCACCCTCATCATCTGCACCTCGCCGCTCCCGGGACTTGTTGGAAGAGATAGGAGAAGAGTGTTTTTGTTCGGGAGAGCTCATAACAGATCCCCTGGTCACAAACGGCACCACACAGCCGTAGCTGGTTGGGCTCAAAGTCTTGCTGGAACCTCACCTGGGCACTCCGCCAGGCACTCACCTGGGCACTCCGCCATGCCGCCCACGGCGTCTAAGTTCAAGAGGCCAGCTGCCGCTCCTCGGACTCAGAAGACCATCAAGAAGACGGTGCCCCAGGCTGGTTCGTCATCATCGGTGCGACCCCTGACTGTCGGCAGCGTCTGCACCGGGTGGGCTGCAGAGGCCCAGGCGCTGCGCAACTTACAGGAGCCGTGCACGCACCTCTTTGGCTGTGACAAGGCCAAGGCGTCCAGGCTCTTCTGCGAGAGCAACTTTGACATCGGCATGTGGTTCGATGACATCTACTCCCGGGAGTTCCGCACGACCGCCCCGACCTGTGACATTTTCTCAGCTGGCTTCCCTTGCCAGCCCTATTCAATGGAGGGGCGTCATCAGGGGTCCAACGACGAGCGCGCAGACGTGCTCGGTGAGATCCTCGCGTATGTCAAGAAGAACCGGCCGAAAGTGGTCATGCTTGAAAACGTTGCCGCCTTCATGAAGAATGAATCGTTTTCGGATGTTCGTGACATGTTGTTCCGTGTTCTCAAGAATGCCGGCTACAAGGTCCATCACAAAATTCTGAACAGCAAGAACTATGGAGTTTGTCAGTCCAGGTCCCGCGTATATTTTGTATGTGTACGCAATGATGTACCTGGCTCTTTCGAGTGGCCAGACGAGGTCAAGATGCCGCCGATATCTACTTTCCTTGACAGCGGGGTGGAGCTCAAAGTATGCAAGTCGGCAGGGAAACGAATCCGGGCATGCATCAAGGAGATCTGCAATGACCCGGATGGCCCAGACATCACTAGAACCCATGTCATCGTGGACGCCGCCTCCGGCCGCACGAACAGCTACAGGATTGGAGAGTGCCCGACCATCACAGCATCTCACGCCAGCAGCGCACGCTCATACTTCAATGTGAAGCAGATGAGGTTCCTTTCGATTTCGTCGATCATCCGGTTGCAGGGTTCGAGTGATAAAGAATTTGATTTTTCGATGCTCAGCCGCACCCAGAAAGGTGTCTTGGCTGGCAATGCAATGACTATCACTGTGGTGCAAGCCATTTTGAAGAATGTGATTCCTCTGCTTCGCAGTGCCAGGCGCTAAGGGCGCAAGATATGATTGGGATATTGATGGAGGTGGGATGATGATATCACATCATGGGGTTGGGAGGGCATGAACAAGCATGCGTGCGCATCTCTCGACCTTGCTGCTTTTAGGGGTAGTTGCACGTACATCGGCAGGATGAGGATGAGGATAAGGATGAGGATGAGGACAAGGAGGATGGTGGGGACAGTTTCAGCTTCCATAAGCGACTTTCCAGAGCCATGGGTGGACGGCTTTAGAACTATTTCGCGCCCCCTTCCTCCTCCTGCTCCTTCTCCTCCTCTTCCTCCTCCTCCTCCTCCACCTCCTAATCCTACTTGTCCTTATCCTCCTCCCCCTCCTCCTCTTCCCCCTCATGCTCCTCCTTTTCCTCCTCCTCCTCCTCCTCCTCCTCCTCCGCCTCCTCCTCCTCCTCCCCTTCCTCTTCATTTTCCCTCGTCCCCCATGCTGCCCCGCCTCCCCGTGCCCCTCTCTCCCTCCCCCCGATCCCCACCTGTCCAAGTCCCCCCCTCCATCTCTCTTGTTTCCCTGCCCCCATCCTAGGCCACCCCGGCCCGCGGCCGAGGCCTGCTGCTGGACCGGGCCAGGCAGGCAGCGGCAGCCGCCAGGGCCGGCCCCTGCCGAGAGCGGGGGGGGCACCTGCGGGGGGAGGACATGAGGATGATGATTGGGGTTTTGGGGCTCTGGAAGTTTGGGATCTCCCAGGCCCCCTGGGGGCCCCCAGAAGAAACTTCTGGTCCAGAATCTTGCGGATACTTCGGGGAACCTCCAGAGACTTTCTGGGGCCTCCAGGGGCCTTGTGGGACCTCCAGGGACCTCCTGGGACGCTCTTTTCCTTCTTCCCCCCCCTCTCTCCCGCCTCGCTTGCCTCCACATCCTTTCCTCCCTCCCTTCTCCTCCTCCTCCTGCTCCTCCTCCTCCTCCTCCTCCTCGTCCTCCTCCCCCTCCTCTTCCTCCTCCTTGCCTCGCCCTGTCTCCTCCTGATCCTCCTCCTCCTTCTGCCCTTTCTCCTGATCGTCCTCCTCCTCCTCCTCGTCCTTATCCTCCTCATCCTAATCGTCCTCCTTCTCATCATCATGCCCTCTCCGATCATGTGCAGTATTTTCCTCTTCGTCATCCTTCCCCTTTGTATGCCTCAACTCGTCAGAATCATCAGTATACCCATCACCAGCATCACCATCACCACCATCGTCGTCCTCACCAACATTACCATCTTCAACATCACCAGCAACGCCAACATCACCGTCATCATCGTGACCGTCTGCATTACGAACACCATGGTGGTCAACAGTGACATCACCACAATCATCAACCACATCACTCACCATTATCGTTGGCATCATTACCATCACCGTCATCATCATAACCGTTACCATCTGCATCTGCACCAGCAGCATCGGCAGGGCTGGGTCCAGCCCAGATTGGCTGCAGCAGACGGTCGTCCCCCTCCTGCTCCTCCTCCTTCTCCTCCTCCTCCTCCTCCTTTTCCTCCTCCTCCTCCTCCTCTTTTCCTCCTCCTCCTCCTACTCCTCCTCCTCCTCCTCCTCCTCCTCCTCCTCCTCCTCCTCCTCCTCCTCCTCCCCGCACCCCCTTGTCCTCCTCATCTTCCTCCTCCTCCGTATCCTCCTCCTCCTCCTCTTCCTCCTGCTCCCCCTCCTCCTCCTTCTCCTCCTCCTCTCAGTCCTGTTTCTCCTCCTCCTCAGTCTCCTGTTCTTCCTTCTCCTCCTCCTCCTCCTCCTCCTGTTCCTCCTCCTCCTCCCCCTCCTTTTCGCTATCTCACTCAGCCTAGGGCGCTCCCAGGCGCGGCCCCAGGTGGCCCGTGGAGCCCAGCACGGCTGACCCGTCGACCCGTCTATGGCGAGGCAAGATAGGTATATATGTATGTACAAATATCAGAGTGAGGGGGCCGAACGGTCATTCACTGCCCCTGGGTGCGTGGCTCTAGTGGAGATCCGTGGTGAGGATTCTGCTTGTTGCGTTGTTGTTATTGCTGCTGTTGCTGTTATTGCTGTTATGGTTGTTGTTGTTGGTGGTGTTGTTGTTGTTGTTGTTGCTGGTGTTGTTGTTGTTGTTGTTGTTGTTGTCGTTGTTGTTGTTGTTGTTGTCGTTGTTGTTGTTGTTGTTGTTGTTGTTGTTGTGTTTGCGGTTGTTGTTGCTGTTGTTGCTGTTGCTGTTGCTGCTGTTGTTGTTGGTGCTGTTGTTGTTGTTGTTGTTGTTGTTGTTGTTGTTGTTCTTCTTGTTGTTTTTTGTTGTCGTCGTACCCCCTGCGACCCACCCTGAAACCCACCCCGCGACCCACCCCGCGACCCACCCCGCGACCCAACCCGCGACCCACCCGCGACCCACCCGCGACCCACCCCGTGACCCGCCCGCGACCCACCTTGCGACCCACCCGGCGAACCCACCCCACGAACCAACCCCGCGACCCACCCCGCGACCCACCCGCGACCCACCCCGCGACCCACCCCGCGACCCACCACGCGACCCACCCGCGACCCACCCCGCGACCCACCCGCGACCCACCCGCGACCCATACGCGACCCACCCGCGATCCACCCGCGACCCACCCGCGACCCACCCGCGACCCATCCTGCGATCGATTCACATTGCTTTAACGAAAAAATCGGCGCCTGCGGCGGGCTCCATGCATAATTTGTAAAAAACTAGGCGCCTGCGGCGGGCTTCTTCAGAGCCTCGCAGTCTGACGGCGTCCTCGCCGCCCCCTCACTCTTATCCGCAACTGCGGGGGGCTACGAATATTATGTGTGTATCTCTCTCTATCAAATCTAGAAATACATGAAGGCATCAGTCTGTAAAGAAAGAAATGCACATATGCCTTTCTCATGCAGCCTCCAAACCTCACCCTCTTGCATTCCCTTGGCGTCCATGCCATCCTTTGTGATCGGCGTCTGCTCCTGTCCGCCACTCGTGCCCACCAGCGTCTTCCCGTTCCTGCGGCTGCCTCTCGCCCCCTACACGATGGCGCCCGCCTCCGCACGAAGGGCACGGGTCCTGAAGGCAATGGGCCCTGGACCCCGCGGCCCTTCCCCTGGACCAACTCTTCATCCCGGGTCCTTTGCTGGCAATCCCGGGGCCCGTGGATGGCCCGCGATACATAAGTACGGCGAAACCCCTCGGGGTCCGCTTCCTCCACGGCGAATATGCCCTCCGACCGCCCCCGCCCTCACACCGGAACGTTCGGAGAGACGTTCGCAACGTAGAAGTTCAGCATGAGCAGCTGCCACAAGACAGGGTCAACGTTGGCACCCGCCGGCCCCCTGGGAGGGCGCCCGGCCTCCTGTCTTGGCGGTGCCAACATGTCTTCTCTTTCCTTCTCTCGTTCCGTCTCTTGCTTCGTGTCGTTTGCTTCTCCAGTGTTGGCATCTTTCTGTCGGGGGGTGATAACAAAACAAACGCTTTGCAAACCACCCTTCAATGAAAACGGCTTTGGGCCATACCTAACGGGCGCGGGCCCGCAAAAAATGCGGCCGCATCGCTTCCACGGGAACCGAACATCTTCGTGGCAGGGGTCAGCCTCCGATTGCACTCCTGCTGTCTACTGGTAGGGCGGCGGCACCAAAACCGAAACCCACACCTGGGGGAAAGGGGGTCCGTCAGTTCCCTGGTCTTTCGAGGTTGCCTCAGGATTCTTGCGTAAGCTCCCCCAGGCGAGCAGGACGCCTGCAGAAGCGTCCTGGAAGGGCCTAGAGAAAACCCTGAGAGTTCAGGACGGCCGAACACCGCCCCAAACGGCTCCAAGATGGCCCAGGAAAACCCCACGAGCCGACGAAAACTGCAGCAAAACGATCAGAACTGGTCAATCGTGCTGGGGAAACCTTAGGTTTTCTGGTGCTTCTTGTTTGTCACCAATACTGCTCTAGCGGTGTCCGTTGGTGGCTTCAGAAAAACCCGGAGAGTTCCCAAAATGGCTCGGGATCGCCTGGGACTAAGCCGAAACATTCTCAAAATGCAAAAGAAAACACATCGACGCACACGGCCGCCGTGTGGGTCCCAACTTTTGAAGGGGTATTGCGCCATGAAAAGACTTTCGTCGTCCTCGGTCGAGTCCATGTACTCGAGGGCTGCACCCTGGGCCTTGTCATACTTCGGCGCCTCGTTCCAAGGGCCGCCGAGGGTGTTCATGCCAACAAGGCCTTCCGATCTAATGACGCCTTGTCAGGTGGAGGTCAAGGAATCAGTCAAGTTATTCGCGTGCTGATGGCACGGCGCGAAAGAGGTGCGAGACAAGAGGAGAGACATTGAGAGAGGAGAGTGATAGAGAGAGGGGGAGAAAAGAGAGAGAGAGAGAGAGGGATAGAGGGTGTATATAAAAATAGCTAGATAGAGAGAGAGAGAGAGAGAAACACCAAGAAACAGAGAGAGAGGGGAAACGAGAGAGAGAGAGAGACATAGAGAAAGAGAGAGAGAGAGAGAGAGAAAACACGAGAGATATATTAAGTTTGCTATACATATGTATATGTATACAGAGAGAGAGAGGGAGAGAGAGAGAGAGAGGGGAACAAACAAAGAAAGAGAGAGACATAACATGACAGAGAGGGAGAGAGAGAGAGAGAGAGAGAGAGAGAAAAAAGAAAGAGAGAGAGAGAGACTTGAAGACTTGGAAACTACCTCAAGGCCACGAACGCTTTGCTCGCCGCAGCGGGCACAAAACGCAGTCGAGGAGAGGGCGGCCCCCGATTGCAGGCCCACCCCCGGGAGAGGGACGGGTCGGCAAGCCCAAGGTCGGGCGAGCCCCAACGCCCACTTCGCCCACGGGGCCAGCGGCCCACCGAGGCCCCAAACCAGGGAGGACGAAACCAAGAGGTCAGACGGGACCCAACCAGGACCCCGCAGTCTGGAGCCTACCCCTCCCCGACAATCCCTCGCAATTGGTCTTCCCTCTCGCCCAAAAACTTGGCGAGGTCCTCGAAGGTACTGCGCCGCGCAGGGCCACCCGACGCGCGTCGCGCGCAGGACGAGGCCTCCTCCTTGAGCCGCGCGTCGAAGCCCTCGACCTGCGCAAGGCCCTCGCGGGGGCAGTCATTCTCCTCGATGGTCTTCAGGACCTGCGCGTAGTCCTTGCTGCTCAGCCCACCTGTGCCTCTGGAGGCGCCACTGAAAGCCGTGGAGGCGCATTCGCCCTTTGTTGTCCGTCGTGCACCGGGCCCGTGACGCACCGACTCCGCGACATTCGTCGGTGCTCTGCTTCGCCTCCGTGAAGAGCTGGTCGAGCAGGTCGTCGCGCTCCACGGTCGCGGCAAGCTTCGCGCCGACGGTCTTTTGCATGCCGCAGGCCGACGGCACCGCGATGTTCTGGTCCACGCCTTCGTCCTGCCACTTCAGGAACTCATCCGAGAGTTCCTCGCCCTCTTTGGCCGCGCAGCCCGACAGGGCCACGGACGGAAGAAAGAGGCCTTCCTTCACGTCGCCGTTGTCATGGAACAACTTCACGTGGCCAAGCGCTCCATCCGCGCTCAGGAACTTGTACTCCGAGAACTGGAAAGAGGGGCAGTCCACGTGGTGCGACGACGGGTGCATGTCCTCAGCTTCTCCCCCGTGAAGATGTCCCGCGCCAGGGTGTGCACCGTGGCGAGCCCGTGCTTGCCCTTCTTCAAGGTCCTGGTTTCGTACGCCTTGCAGAGATGGCCCCTGGTGATCACCCGGTAGACTTGTCGTAGCAACTCGCGGCCTGGGCCACCTCCGCGGCGGGCAGCTCCGTCTCCACGAAACCGTTGACCTTCTGGTCCTCGTAGGGGTCCTGACTGGCGCCGTCGTCGCTGGTGCCGCCGTCCCCGATGTAGTGCTCCTCCACCTGCTTGCCGAAAGGCACCTGCTGGGGCGCGTCGTAGTCCTGGTCGAGCGGCCTCGCGCCGCACACTTCTCCTCCTTCGTGGGCAGCTTGAACCAAATATTCGACTTGCTCCGTCCGGCTGCCCCAGCGGTCCTTCGAGCTGGACGAGCTCGGAATGAGCCTGGCCCAGCGGGCGCCCCCCCTTCGGGGTCAGCGAAGCCTGCGTGGGCAGCCGGTCCAGGTCCGGGGCGTCGTCCCCAAGCTGGTCCGTCAAGGTCGCCCGCTCCGCAGCCAGCGCCTCCGTCTTGGCGGGGCCTCCGTCTGCCTCTTCTCCGACTCGACGATGCGCCGCGCCAGCTGGCTCCGCAATGCAGCCTTCAACCTCGCCGAACCCGGATGCGTCTTGATGGTCGCCCTGCGCGCCCTTGACGGCCTGGCCGCCTGGCGGGCCAGCCTCGAGCTCCGAGGGCGCGCCCGCGGGGGCTTGCGCGGGCGGATGGGCGCCTTCGCCCCTGCCGACTCCCACCTCAGCTGGGCGCGCTGGAACCTGCCCTCCGCGATCGACCTCATGAGGCGCGACGTCCAGCGCCCTGGAAGACGGGGGGGCCGCGCCCGAGGGGCGTCGGCAGCGCGTCCTGCTTGCGCCGCGTGGACATCGCCCGTCGCGGTGATCCGCGGAGTCCCGCGCGCCGACCTCGCCCCGGAACGGGCGGTGGGCGCGCCCGACGGGGCCGCCGAGATGCTCTGGGTAGGCCGCGTCGAGCCAGTGCCGCGCGTAGCACGAGCCCTGCTGTCTGCGCCGCTCGGCGGCCCGGCTGGCCCCATTCCGCGGCGGGCCTCCTCCGCGACAGGGCCCCCCCTTCGCCCGCGCCGACTCTCGCGGGGCGAGGCGGCCCCGTCGCGGAAGGGGCCAGTCTGCTGGGGAGCGGCCGGGCCGCCTCCTCCTCCTCCTCCTCCTCCTCCTCCTCCTCCTCCTCCTCCTCCTCCTCCTCACACTCCTCCTCCTCCTCCTCCTCCTCCTCCTCCTCCTCCTCCTCCTCCTCCTCCTCCTCCTCCTCCTCCTCCTCCTCACCCTCCTCCTCCTCCTCACCCTCCGCCTCTTCCTCTCGCTCTGCCCGCGCGCTTCGGCGGG